CTCCAACCTCAGCAAGAAGGAATTACAGAAGATACGACCTCCGTCCCTAATCCATAAAACAAAAGGCTGGAATGTTAGGTCTGATCAAATACCGCATGGATAGTCCCTTCCCTGAGAACTGACATTGAAATCATTTCACAACAGACATTCCCTTTCCCTAAGACTACATTCCACTTGCTAACACCATTATCTTTCCCCTCAGGACCCGCCCAGAGAATTTTCCGCCCAGAAAAAGCCCGCCTAAAGTCCTTTAAAATCTGACACCCCGTCCCTGGCTACTGGCGCCATTTTGGGGCTCAGCTCATCTGGGTTTCCAGATGACCTAATAAATTCATTCTTTACCATCACCACCACTACCGCCCCCCCCAAAAAAACAGCAACACATATCTAAGTAAAGTTACTGAATATCAAAGATAAAGAATCCATAAGACAGGCAAAAGATCAAGATACTAGTAAGAAGAAAAAGACTGATCACATTTCTTCACTGCCACATTCAGTATCAGAAAATGGGAGCAGCACGGGAAACCATAAAAATCCTCCAAGACTCCAAAGGCAGCAAAATAGCAGACATATGTCGTAGCAATATCTTTACTGACACAGCTCCTAAGGCAATGGAGACTAAGGAGAAAATAAACAAATGGGACTACATCAAAATAAAAGCTTCTGCACAGCAAAAGAAACTACCAACAAAACAACAAGAAAGCCCACTGCATGGGAGAACACATTTGCCAATGCTACTTCAGATAAGCGTTTAATCTCCAAAATTCACAGAAAACTCATACAACTTAACAAAAGGAAGATAAACAATCCAATCAAAAAATGGGCAAAGGACCTAAATAGACACTTTTCCAAAGAGGACATACAGAAGGCCAAGAGAAATGAAAACATGCTCAAAGTCACTAATCGTCCGAGGGATGCAAATTAAAACAACAATGAGCCCTGACCGGTTTGGCTCAGTGGATAGAGCATCAGCCTGCGGACTCAAGGGTCCCAGGTTCAATCCCGGTCAAGGGCATGTATCTTGGCTGCGGGCACATCCCCACTGGGGGGTGTGCAGGAGGCAGCTGATCGATGTTTCTCTCTCATCGATGTTTCTTTTTTTCTTTTATTTTTAATATATTTTACTGATTTTTTTACAGAGAGGAAGGGAGAGGGATAGAGAGTTAGAAACATCTAGCTCTGTGATTAAGGACCCAGGACCTTAGCACTGGATGCAACCCAACAAGTCTATAAATTCGGAAGCACTTTCTACAAGATGCTGAGACCCAAGCAAGGCTAGACTCCAGGCATCAGTGTACACGCTGACCGTAGCTGCTCTCACCTCTGCACTCTGAGGAGCAGTGTGGAATCCAACACCACAGGAATTTCCGCATTCAGCATGACTCTAGTCTAATTTATAATAGCTTGACCAAAAAATAGCAATACTGATCAAGATGCCCAAAAATGAAGTGTCTATCTCACAGACTAGACATTTTAAAAAGAAACCACACATACATAAAAATTTTATTCCAAAATTCCAATATAATATTTGTTATCACTGCAGTGACTATACTGCAAAATTGTTGCACTCAACCAATTTGGGTACTATATTTGCATGTGTCAACTTTCTAGTGGTCTTTGTTGAGTAGAATATACAGAATCTACTGTCTATAATACAAAGCAGTGATTCTAGAATTAATGCCTTATTATATAAGTGGATCAAATTAGTAACTGTCACCATAAAGTTAAAATCTATTTTTAAAATTTATTTAGAACATCGTCCTGATACCCTAAGGCTGCGGGTTTGATCCCCAGTCAGGGCACATACAAGAATCAACCAATGACTGTA